AGGTTAATGTGAGCGTCGCTTCCTTCTCTTCTACACACCTCTCGATCCTGCGCCTCCTCCTTCACCACCACAGGAGCCTTCTCTTGCCCCTCGGCTAATTCCGCGGCGAGGATAGAGGACTCCTCCGCGGGAGACGAAGAAGATACAGCCGGCGGAAGAACAACATTCTCCGTACGAGATTCTGCAGCTTCAGCCATTGTTCCCAGGAGGAGATCTGTCGCGCTCTGGTGACGTCATCAGAGATGCGTCCTCCCCCTCTGGTCTCTGTTTCCATAGCAACACATCACGCCCAAGCATAGGAAGGGGAAAATAAATGAGCTGCACGGTGAAAAATGCCAGAAAGGGGCCGTCTCACTCAGCTTCAATGAAAACAACAATCCTGTATTCGCGTTTGAACGGTGGAAATGCTACAGAGCATCACACAGGGAGAGTAGCAGCCACTGGGCAAGGGGACTTTTGGGTTGCTGGCTTATTTTTAAACTGAACTTGAATATTAAAGTGGATGGTGGATCTTTAAAATGTGCATCTATTCACCAACATTTGCATCTTTGGACATGTTTGTAAGTCTTCTTTGAGGCAGGTAGTCATGACCAAAACACAGAATCCAAGACCGTAAAGGTGGCTGCAATTCAAGGACGCACATGACTTTGGACCATACTTATTTGTAGCCATGGCCTGTGATGGACCTACATTTTGGGGGCCTTGAAGCCTGAACTGTCATGGGGCCCCCTTCACAACCAGCAATGAGGTCTGGGTAACCACTGTTATCTTCTTCAGTGGGGTTGTTCTATCACAGATCACCACACCTTTAGAACTACTGACTTCTCAAATTTTGGGATTGTTGAACTATATACAAAAATAAAATAAAATAAAACACTTGAGGATATATATTTCTTTGCCTGCTATTAAAAAGACCACAATGTAGGCACCTGGCCTCTCTGAGGAGGGCATTTCATTGTTCTTTGGTAGCCAACCACTGTATCTACATCATTCCAAAAAGGAAGGAAGCCCAGGTCAGAGTTCATACGTTCATACTATATGGGGGAAAGGGAGCATCCCAGAGACAACCTTTGAGAGAGCTCTGAAGCCAAAGGGAGCACCCCAGAGACAGCCTTTGAGAGAGCTCTGAAGCCAAGAATCAGTGATGCTGCTGAATGCAAGTGCCTGAAGGAGGAGAGTCCTGGACCTAGGTGAAGACGGTGGCTGAAGTCCTGATGGAAGCCTGAGAGACTCCAGAAGAAAGTAGACCTGAGAGAGAACTGCAAGCCTTTGGGGCATAGTTGGTGAGTGTTAACTGAATGTGTTTAGGGAAACTGGCTATAGATTTAAATAGGGGGACAAACTAAATCAAAGCCAGCTTCTTAAATAAAAGGTACTCTTATGGTGTAACCATTCTGAGTTAATGAAACAATTACCAAGTAAACATCTAGATCTAGTAACTGTACAAAGATCAGCATATGTTTATATTGAAACAACACATAATTTTCTATGGGGGAATTCAACACAGCACTATGGTCAGTTGTGCCTGACAGAATGATCTCTCCTCTCCTCCTCCTATATGCTGTTCTGGGTTTTTTTCCCTAAAAAAAAAAAAATCCTGACCCCCAAAGCACAGTGGCATGCTGGGGAACAAAGGGGATGAAGCCTTGTTGCACTATCAACAGTCCTTCTGCGGGCTTCTGCTGGCAGGACCAGTTAGTTGAGTCCAGCCCCATTTTTAGGCTTGTACATAGCTACCAGTAGGTAAACTGAAGTATTATAATTGACTTGATATTTAGATACATGGTGGGGCAGTGGTAATGGGGTGCATAAATAAGTAAAAGCTTTTAGTTAAAGATGAGAAAACAAAACAGGTGTGTAAGACCATGCCCTCTACAATAAGTAATGGCAGAGCTGGAAGAGGCAGGATGATTAATCAGAACTCATGATGAGACACTTTATCAAACTGAGGAGAATTTTCTTCTATATTTGTACATTCATTTAGTATTTAAAATTGTAAATCACTTTGGATGACATCACAGAGACACAAAAATGCATTAAAGTTAAACCAATAAAATAAAGAAGGGAACACATTTTGTGTCAAGATTTTTTCAGGGGGTAATGTATCATGGCTGTACTAGAAAATACAAAGAAATCAGAAAGCTCATATACAGAACATAAGCTGCTGGTGTTTTAAATGCTTTTGAAATCCTTGCCTGCATGATGCTTAACATTTGCTTATATAGAGATGCTTTAAAATGAAGGATGTGTTTGTCATTGTCTGCCTATATACAGTCTTGGTCTAATAGTCTAGCTAAGCTGTGGTCTAAACCACAGAGCCTAGGACTTGCCAATCAGAAGGTCGGCAGTTCGAATCCCCGCGACGGGGTGAGCTCCCATTGTTCGGTCCCAGCTCCTGCCCACCTAGCAGTTCGAAAGCACGTCAAAGTGCAAGCAGATAAATAGGTACCGCTCCGGCGGGAAGGTAAACGGCGTTTCCGTGCACTGCTCTGGTTTGCCAGAAGCGGCTTAGTCATGTTGGCCACACGACCCGGAAGCTGTCTGCGTACAAACACCGGCTCCCTCGGCCTATAGATCGAGATAAGCGCTGCAACCCCAGAGTAGTCCGTGACTGGACCTAATGGTCAGGGGTATCTTTAAGACCATTAAAGGTGTGTTCTACATAAAGCAAGTTTATGAGTACACATTCAAAGCCAGATGAAGAAAAAGCAGCACTTGGGAATGAAAAATGGTATATAAACACATTTAATATAATTGTTGGGCTGGAGTTGATAGGAGACAAACTAATAAAGAAGGAGGCATTCATATACAAGCTGACTAGCATCGTGACAAGTCACAAGAACCACTAATTCTTGCAGTGTGGCTATTGTTATCATACCAAAGTGTGCAGGCATCAAACCCCTGCTACCCTAGGTGAATCAGGCCCTCCACTTGGAGCTATGTAGACAACAAAGCAACAGTAGCACACTTTTCTTCTTAATGCAAAATCAAGCATAGAACAAAATCACCACAGTTTCACCACAGCGGGGAAAGTTATTTTAAGCAGGGAGGGACAATCAGCAAGGACTTATGGAGGCAGACTGTACGTTTTAGAAAGTGGAAGACTGCTGTAATTGCTTGCAGTATGCATGCACACACACACACACACACACACACACACACACACACACACTCCTGTCCCGCTATTGCTTCTGGTCAATCAGGTTTTGCAAGGTTTTGTTGTGTATCAAAACCTGTTTGACCAGAAATCGTAGAACAAAGGAAAACAGTGTGCATTCTGTGAACAACAATGGCTCTAACTTAAACTTTCTTAAAACTATTGTCTGTCCTCAGTTTCAGAGCTAATTTGAAAACAACCCTAAAGTTTTCAAGGTCATTATTTGTGTACACACAGTATATCACACATAGACATACTGTATGGACACCTTGGGAAATAACAAAATCTAATGGAATATATGAGAGGTATGAAATAGATGGGCAAAAGCCTAGGGAGCTGCTTTTCTGCTTTGGTCCAGTACTGGCCACTTCAAGTGGCAGCTGCACTCGGAAGTAGAGCTGGGAACCTCTGGCCTACAGGCCTATCATGGTGACATCACTTGATGATCAGAGCAGTGGGAATAAATTCTTTGCAGGGCACACAGCCAAGGCAGCAGGATTTTATCTCCTTTCAATCAGCTCATGAGCAAGGTATGTGTGTGTGTTAAATCCTGCTCAAATCAAACAGGCGTGGCAAGGGCTATCTGAAAACTCCCTGCCGCCTCTGTGCTGCTGGTTTTGTGTCTGGTCTACTCCAATTCTCTTGTTTGCTCCCTTGTCCAGGCTGAGAGGGCTATTTTAGTTCTAGCTGCAGAGCAGGGGAAAGTGTGTGAGTGTAGTTTCTCTGAAACCACACTAAAAATGACTGCTCAGGTGAAGTATTTTCAGTCTCAGTCCTATGACCCTCTAACTAGATAAGTCAGAAAGTAAACACTGAGCAGAAAAATCCTACTTTGAAATAAAACAAACTGCATTGGCCAACAAGGCATTGTAAAGGTACTGAAGCATCTGCCAACATGTTTATTTCAGCTACTGCTTTTCATAGTTTACACAGCCTACTACTGTCCTTAGGCTTTGATTTCTCCACCCCTCACTCTAAAATTCCAGGATTAAAAGCAAAACAGAGCCTGAGAGGATAACAGAGGTAAACAACATTGTGCCTCCCTGATGCTGGATTACAACTCTCATAGTCCCAGACCATTAGGCCTAGTAGCTGGGGCGGACAGGAGCTGCAGTCTCCCAACATCTGGAAGGCACAACATTGACTACCCCTGGGGTAACATGCAGTCTGGCTAGGAAGGCTGATTCAAACGTTACCAACTTCCTACGCAGAAGGTGCCGTTTGCAGGGTAACCACTTGGTCCTTAACAGCTATAGATGTTTTGCCTGCATAGGTGGGAGCTGTGCCCAACTGCAGCTGCCTTGCATGCCCACATGCAGCGAAATAGCTACGTGTACGATCTCCATACGTTACAATCTACACGCAGGTTTCCCCACAAAGTGGTTACCCTGCAAACGGCACCTTCCTTTGGGGGGGGGGGGAACCAAACAACAGCAACAACAACAACCAGTAACTTGTGAGGCAGCTGTGGAGCGATCTTCATATGGGAAATTCTTAGCTCCTTTGTCCTTTTCATCCGATGAAACCTGCTGTGGACTTGGAGCGGACCCTTCGATATTTTTTGCAGATGGCCGAAAGTGACGGGGATGTTCCGTGTGATCGCAGTGGGGGAAGGGTAGTAGCCTCCCACTTTTACCTTGCCTTACCTCATCCTTTCAGGAAGCAGCCACTGAATGAAAGGGAATTGCCAGCGTATGTGTGTGTGTGTGTGTGTGTATGTATAATCGAGGCTCCCTCCCTCCTTCCTTGTCTTGGGTAGTGCTGGGGGCAGGCGCCGCTCGGCGAGGGGGCGTGGCCTCCTCGGCTCCGCCCCGGAAGGACGCGCCGGCTGGGCTGAGGCGGCGGCGGCGGCGGCGGCGGCAGCCGAAGACGGGTAGTAGTATAGAGGCGGGGGGTTTGGCTTCCCGGGCCGGGGCCGGGCCATGGGGAAAGAGCAGGAGCTGCTGGAGGCCGCCCGCACCGGGAACCTCCCCGCCGTGGAGAAGCTGCTTTCGGGCAAGCGCCTCAGCTCGGGCTTCGGCTCCGGCGGCGGCTCCGGGTCCTCGGGGGGCGGCGGCGGAGGTGGCAGCGGCAGCGGCGGGGGGCACCCGCTCTCCAGCCTCCTCAGGTAGGTGCTTCGACCTGGGGGGGGGGGAACGGAGTTGCTCGGAGGGGGGGGCCGAGGGAGCCCGTGCCAGGCTGCCTTGCCATGGGGCGGGTGGGGGTGTGTCTCCTCGAGCGCCTTGAGGTGCGGTTGTCCGCGGGCAGAATCCCCGCCTTTCGGAGGCGCAGCGGCGGCCGCCCATGTGTTTTCCGAGCGCGGCGGCGCCTTCGGGGTTACCTCGGGCGCAGAGAGATCCGAAGCCCCGAGAGATCCTCTGGCGGGCGCGCGGAGGGAAGAGGGGCTCCGGGCGGCGAGGTGCAAAGGTGGCAGGGGCGTGTTTCTGGGGCTTCCGGGTTCCCTGGAGAAAGTGGCTTTTCAGCCGCGGTTCCTCTAGAAAGAGGCAGTGAGGCTTTTTGGCTGGGGAAGCGTCTATTGTAAACTTTTGTTTTGAGAAGCGCTGGCGTCAACACCGGAGACTAGTGTGGCGTGAGGGTGATTTGTGCTTTACACAGTCAGGTCCTGGGTGAGGGTGGGATCCAAAAAACTCAGCCTCTGTTCTTTGATCTCTAACTTTTCAGCCAAATCGTGCTTTCTTTTTCTGCATTTTTAGTGTGAAGTTGCTCTTTTTTACCTGCCTCAGGCATGACTTACAATTCTAAGGCTTGGAGTCATGGTCTTCAGCTTGTAAGTGCCTGGACCTAAGATGGGTTCCACCACTGGCACCTTTTCCATTTCCCTCTGTGTGTGCAGTTGAAGGTTTCTTTTAGAGAAGGGAGTATAGCACAGAAAGAAAATGAAGGAAATGGGAGTCTGCATGCAAAGGATCCGACAGATGTAAGCAATGTAAAATCAAGTAGATGTTGTGTACAGGTTAACTGTAGCTCTTAGGGGTGATGGGTACTGCACTATAATTGTGTACTTTTTCTAGTTCTGCAGTATCCAAACCTTTATGGTGTTCCTGGGATGCATCCCTCCTCTGCCCTAACTTCTCACAGCTGTATGGCTGCTTTTTTAATTTCTCATGTTTTCTTTTGTGTGTGCCCCTTCCTCAAAAAGCTGGTGATGTGACTTGTAATATCTCCCTCACTGTGATTGGGACAGGAGTGTGTTAGCTTCATATATCTAAGAAGGCCATTTCTTGGCCTTTGTAGATAACAATTCAGCTATTCTCAGCTTATCTTCCTGACTCTCTCAGGTCTAACAATTGTTCCAAAGAATAGTTACTTTGCCTGCCTGGTGGTCAGTGAGGTGACTTTATGAAAAATAAGGTAAAACACTGAATCTCTAAAATATAAATTTCATACCGGGATAGTAAAACAGTACCTATATTAGGACCAGTTTTAAAATCACAGAACTAATATACTGTCTAAGCTTTAAAGTCCACTAGAACTCTGTCTAAGACTGGAATGCAAGTAAACACTTGCTATTTGAGAGCAAAACAACACTTGAGAGACAGAATAGAGGTTGGGGGAAGATGTTGCTGGTTGTCATTGGAAGCCCCAGTCTGCAGTTTGCTACAACCATAGAGAGTTTTTGCAGATTAAGTTAGTGGCCATTCTCTCCTTGAAAGTATAGAAGCCAGAATTTGCCTGAATCTGTTTGGAGCATGCAGGTTTACTAGAAAAGTTCCATAAAGAGAGAGTAACATGAATACAGTGGAATCTCTGTTTTCGAGCGTTTCAGAAGCTGAACGATTCAGAACCTGAACGTCAAAAACCTGGAAGTAATTGCTTATGTTTTCGAACGTTTTGGAAGTCAGACATTCTTTCGGAATGGATTATGTTCAAAAACCGAGGTTCCACTGTACCTTTATTAGGACCAGCTGGAATGACAAATCATGCAAGCTTCTTAGTTGATCATAAGTCTTCAGACTGGTTGTTAAACAAAAAATGGGGGTGTAGAGAAAAGGAAAAATGTTGAACATGATGAAACCGAAGTTTGTATCAGTCTCAAAACAGAATGGAAGAGGCATTTCACATGCTTAAGTCTACCAGCTGCTGGGAAATACTCTCAGTTGGCTATTTGTCTAAAATTAATCTCTGGCTTCGTTAATGTGTTTTTCTTTACTTCGGCTCCTTACTTTATAAAAATTCTGAGTCACATGTATTGAAAGGGAGAGACCATTCTTGGTCTCAGCATGTCTTGTTGCAACCTGAGGTCTTTTTACAGATACAATCTAATATAATTAAGAATGCAGAATGACTCTGTTCTCTTAAGATTGTTACAAAGTGAGGATAGGGGTTTCTGTCATGTCTAGCAACATTTTTTCCTTCTCCTTACTTACTCCACCCTGAAAATCTCTCCCCAACTCAAAATTATACATTACTTTGTATTTAATAAAGGTAGTGTCTAACTATCATCATATAGAATTTACAAAAAAACCCTCAAGCGTTTTCTGTGTTTTGCCTAAAGTGTAAGCATATCTACTTTTGTTTGTGTTGCACTATAGTAGTATTATAGTTTGTGTATTCAACTTAATTTATTTTCAGATCTAGATTATAATGTATTACAGCTTCTTTATCTTTTTATAGCAGTTGGTAGATCAAACCTGGTAGCTGAATTACAAAGTGTCATCTGTAAAAATAATAACAACAGGATTAATAATACTAATTTAATCCCTTATTCAAACTTAACACTTTCCTACAGAGATTGTTTTTGCTGTACTTCAGGCATAGTTCCTTCATATGCCGGGTGAAATATAATTTGTGTGTGTTGCCATTTACACAAATATGCAAATCACACTATTGTGCGTGATTGATCTTTATTGAAGTGGATTTCTAAGCACTTATTTATAAAATGATTTGATTCCTGAAATGACAACTGTCTGAAGACCTTAATAGATGCTTCTCCACCTATGACTTTCCTAGGTTCCAATATCCCTAGGCAGGTTTCAGATCATCTTATGGTTCAAGCTCCAGTCCTAGAAACATTTAATGTGAGTAAACAATTGGACTCATTAGGATAACTTGTATGCATTTGAAGTTAAATGCATGTTTCCTGGAGTTGGTTAGAGCCTGTGACTTGGCATGTGGGCACATCCTGTTTGGAAGCATGGTTTGAATATATGAAAGGTCAGAATTGTTTGAAGTTGTTGGGCTGAAAATGTATCTTTTTTCAGATGGAATCAGTGTAAGTTTGTATTGTGTTTGAGAGTCTGGCATGGACACTATAGATAGTGAATTAACTTGCTGAACTTCCTAATGTAGGCTTGGATGATTCTAAACAAAATAGTTCTGCTCCGTGTGACTACACAAACAGTAGGACTATTATAAACATACATGTTGTTAAACTCAAAATTGCTACAGTGGTACCTTGGGTTACAAACACCTCGGGTTACAAACACTTCCGGTTACAGACTCCGCTAACCCAGAAGTAGTATCTTGGGTTAAGAACTTTGCTTCAGGATGAGAACAGAAATTGTGCGGTGGCGGCGGCGGCAGGAGGTCCCATTAGCTAAAGTGGTACCTCAGGTTAAGAATGGTTTCAGGTTAAGAACGGACCTCCGAAACGAATTAAGTTCGTAACCAGAGGTACCACTGTATAGGGAAAATATTAAGCAGTATCCAAAACTGGTACTGATTACTGAAAGTCAACTGCACCTATTGCTGGAGGAAAGGAAGAGTTTTCAAGTTGCCAGTGTGACCAGTGCTTTTAAAAGCTTTAAAGGGTTTTTTAAAAGAGAAATTCTGTGAGTTTCTTGTTCAATTTTTCATGTTTATAAAGATGTCATCATTTTCTAGTTATGCAGAAGAAATACAAACCTTGTTCCACTATATAGAATGAGCACTTCAGACCTCATGGCTTTAGAGGTAAATGCATGCATGACTGCTGTGTAATTCTGCTTCGTTGTTATGCCCTGTAGCATGTGGTATCAATGTTGGTCCTATTGCAGAGCCCCATTATGGTAGTAATTGGTTTAACTCATTTCATATTTAATAGTTCATTGACATCTCAAGATTCTGTTCCCCTTCCCCTACCCCTAATTCTTTAGGAAGTATATGAACTGCAGTGGAAGTGTTTTTGTAGCATGTTACTCTGATATAGAATGTTACTGATGAAATAAGGAACTGCAATGAAATGAGATATGAAGTGGATTTGATTGGAGAGGAGACAGAGTGGTTTAATAATAGGTAATTGAAAACTGAGGGATGGGAGTTTCAGTTACTTGGGAGCAGTGAGATGCCTTAAATACCTTCATAACATTATTGCAGACTTCCTACGTATGCAGTTCAAAACTGGATATTTTTTTATATTTTTTTTATAAATATTTTTTATTGAGTTTCTTTTCTTAAGGTCATAGATACAAGATTGAAGTAAGAGAATACAAGAAACAAAAACAAAAAAAAATGATAAAAAGATCATTACAATCCAATTTTCAAAAGTTTTTCCAATATTCCAAATGGACTTCCCCGCATCCTCCAGACTCTGCGTTCTTTGCAATAAAAGTTTCAGCAATTTGTTACCTTGTTTCTTAACTTACTGTAACTTTCAATTATTATGTTTCTAAATTCACAATATTATGTCCCAACTTTGTACATTTAAAGTTAACATAATAAAATTGTTTCATATTACCACCTCTTTTTTCTTGTCTTAATTTTCAGTTTACCTAATCAAGTTGCTAAAGCAAAAAATTTCCTGATCGTGCGTATTTCTTAACATTCGTACAACTTATAATGTTTTTGCAAATAGTCCTTAATTTTTTTCCAGTCCTCTTCCATTGTTTCCTCGCCCAAATCTCGGATTCTGCCAGTCATCTCAGCCAGTTCCATGTAGTCCATCAACTGCGTCTGCCACTCCTCCAGCGTGGGTAAATCTTGAGTCTTCCAGTGCTTTGCAATGAGAATTCTTGCTGCTGTAGTAGCGTACATGAACAAAGTTCTGTCCTTCTTTAACACCTTCTGGTCCACCATGCCCAATAGGAAGGCCTCTGGTTTCTTGGGAAAGGTATACCTAAATACCTTTTTTAACTCGTTGTAAATCATTTCCCAGAAGGCCTTCACTTTTGGGCAGGTCCACCAAAGATG